GGGAGGGAGAGAGGGAAAGGAGAAGGAATAAGGGAAGAGAAGAAGAAAGAAAGAGAGAGAAAAAGCAAACTTTGTTTATCTTTGGACTGTTGCTGAGGAGGTGTCTTTAAGACATATAAACAGATTTATCTGTAGTCGGATCTAGAGCTAAGGCATCAAAATCACCAGGTGGTAGAAAAGAAGCCTTCTCAAAGTATTATCTAGATACACACGACATATACAAAATTAATAAAGGAAATAGCAGAGGAAAAGAATTGACAGGGAAAAGCGAGGATTTTTATTTTATTTTTATTGGACTTATTGGGGTCCATTAAGTCCATTAACAAAATTATACAGGTTTCAAGTGCACAATTCTACAGTACATCATCTGTACACTTGTGGAGATCAGGGCATGAAGCCATGCTTGGAGCAGGCTCAGCAGAGTCATGATGCAGAGGGATGATACGACACTTAGCGTGCACCATATAGAATGGTAAACAACATGGGCTTATCTGAAGGGTAACACCACCCTCTCAGAGAGCAATATAAACAACATGGTCCTATCAGAGCTGACACAAACAACATGTGGCTCTCACAGCTGATGTAAACAATATGTGTTTACTGAAATTGAGAAAAACATGTTTATGAGAAATTGTGCAAAAACAACATGACTTTGCAATGAAAATAAGCATAAAAGAAGAGGACTTCAGACCATGGGTGACACATCCAGAGAGCGAGTCACCCTGAGATGTCCTGCACCTTTCGCCCTGGGAGAAAGAGAGCTCCATCTCCACCTTGTCCCTCTGACTTTTCCTTACAAGACGTGTCGACCAGTTGCTTTCTGGACTTGGACTGACCTGATTTGGAATCTTGGGACTCAGGTTTGTTATCCACTAATTCTCTTATGTGATGTTATTATTGACTGTTTCTGAGTGATTATTATTGTTATTAGATTACTGTAGATTTGGATTGAATCTGCATTAATAAAAGCTGAGTGAATGGCAAAACCACCTGTGCTGACTGTTATTCATTGGTGCTGCTGTTACCCGTAGGGCTGGTGGCCTTATAGGTGACCAAGCACTTTCAGTTCTTAAAGCCTAGGTTAGAAGAACCGAGCTGGGATTAAGGGCTGATTTATAGGAAGAACTGACATCACAAAACAGTCTCTTGTGGCAACATTGTATTCTGAGCTCACCACCTCAAGTCAAGTTTCTGTCCATCATCTTTTATCCCCCTATATCTTCCTCCACTTTCCTCCACCCTGCTTCCCTTCTGACTAGCACTCATTGTTGTTCATGTCCATGAGTTTTTTTCTATTTTCTTCATTCTTTTTTTCATTCAATCCCTCCTCCTTCACCCAGCCCCCCCCCAGATCCCATCCTCCAAGAGTAGTCAGCCTGATCTCTATCTATATCTCTATTTTGCTAGTTAGTTCATTTTGTTCATTAGATTACACATATGAATGAAATCATATGATGCTTGACTAGCTTATTTCACTTAACATATTTTTCAACATTCTACAGGTCCATCCATGCTGTCTCAAAGGGTCAGATTTCCTTCTCTTTTATGGCTAAGTAGTATTCCATTGTGTAAACGTAGCACAGTTTTTTGTTTGTTTGTTTGTTTTTTTGTGGGGTTTTTTATCCATTTATTTACTGATGGACACTTGGGCTGCTTCCAAATCTTAGCTATTGTAAATAATGCCAGAATGTACATAGTGGTCCAGAACTTCACTTTAAAAATCCTGTGCAATTGAAACTCAAATGATAGCTATACAATGAATACAACTTAAGTTGAGTAGAATGAATAAGCAAATAAAAGCACCCCCTGATTTCTTTTGTGAACTTACTTAAACCTAGAACATTCATTTTTCTGACCTACCTAAACACAGGTACGTGTTTTCTTGGGATTTTTGGCCTTAAGGAAGCATGAGGCTAACTGGAATTATGAAGAGCCACAAGTAATCTATGTCAGTCTATGGTGGCGAATCTTAAATCACTTCCAGAAAAATAATAAATATGTAGAAACAGTCCATATCACAGTCTATAGGGTTATTTCAACACAACTGGTTTAATTCAATGTTTTTTTTCCTTTTAGTTTAAATTCATAATGTTACAAAGACCATACACTTTGAAAGTGAGCCATCTCTTTTTCTTTGCATGTCAATGTGATGAATCTATTTATTCTGGGCCAAGAAACAACAGAAAAATGGTAAGCCAAGCCAGGAGATGTTTTGGATGTAATATATTGTTTACACTCTACTTCCTTCACAAGGTCTCTTGTTTATACCCCACTTCCAGAATAAACAAAAGAGAATTGTCTTTCTTTCTATAGGCACTAGTGGAACTTCAATAGAGCAGGGCTCAGACTGTAAGTTCTAAGCAAAATCATACATCTGGGTTAATCTTCCTTTCATCCAGGTATATAAATTTTATGAAACATTTTATCATAAAAAAGAGTGACAATGCATCCAAATGTATTTTTTAAAAAAATACTATTGACTCTTTCTGAAAATAAATAATTATAAGGCAATTCTAGCATCAGCTATTTTAAGAGCTCAAAAGATAAAAGCATTTCAAAAGTTTGCAATGAATCATCCCTAGTAAAAGAACAACCAATTTCATTTTTCACAGTTCTTTCTAGCTGTGCAACTAAAATTGCCTTGTGTAAATTAGAATGAGATTTTAGTTGGGAGAAGCACAGCTTGAGGTTGTAGAAAACTTCTAACACTTATGTCTTATCAGCAATATACTTTTCTGTTTTGTGATCACAAGTTTTCCCTTTGTCTCCTGAAAAGTCCTGCTGTTTCTTCCCCACACATAGCAAGTGTTATCTCCCCCTGGGCTACAATACTGAACATACTGACACACGCATTTCTGATCCCTTGATGGCGATTTAAACTGAAGAGAGTTTATTGGATTTTTTCCCCAAGCCTTCTCAGCATAATGTGTTCAGGATTTCTAACATAATTGTATAATTAACATCTATTTAAAAAATACTGAGTAATATGACAGAATATTTTTCATAAGTTTTATATCACATAATTTGATAAAATTAAATAGGAATTAAAAATGTTTTTTAATTTTAGTAATCGCTAGGCTGTGATCTGAGTTGAAATAAAGTATCATTATTTTCTCAGTCTATATATTCAAATATCTTATAATTTTATAGGACTTTCAATTAAATAAATGTAATACTAGTATTGATATTAAAATAAACATAGTTTTATGTAGTCTTCTTAAAATATAAATTATATATTTGGACATGACTTACTAAAAACCTTTACATAAATATAGCAAAGAAAATATTTCAATATATGCCAATATGCATATTAAATATTTTCTTTTTTTAATTTTGAAATACTAATCTTCATTGTATTTTTTCCATTATCATTTAGTCCCCACATACCTCTTACTCCCCAGTAATCACCACACTGTTGTCCATGTACACGTGTCCTTTCTCCTTTTTGCTCAATCCTTTCACCCCTAACCTTCCCCTCACTAGCTGTCATCTTGCTCTCCATCTATGAGTCTGTCCCCATTTGCCTATTAGTTCAATTTGTTCATTAGATTTCATATATGAGTAAAATCATATGGTATTTGTCTCTGACTGGCTTATTTCACTCAGTTTAGTGTTATCTAGGTCCACCTCTACTATCACAAAGGGTAAAATTTTCATTTTTATGGCCATTATGTAAATGTTCCATAGTTGTTTTATCCATTCATCTATTGATGGATAATTGGGTGGCTTCCATATTTTGGCGATTGTAAATAACACTGACATGAACATAGGGGTGCTTATGTTTTTTTCAAATTAGTGTTTTGAGTTTCTTTGGATATGTTACCAGAAGTGGGATCAGTGGCAGATCCATTTTTAATTTTAGAGGTATCTCCATACTGCTTTCCACAGTGGTTGCACCAGCCTGCATTCCCACCAACAGTGCAAAAAAGGTCCCCTTCTCCACAACTTCGCCAAAACATTATTCGTTGATTTATTGATGATACCTTTTCTGACAGGTGACAAATGATATCTCACTATGGTTTTAATTTACATTTCTCTGATGATTAGTGATAGTGAACATATTTTCATATGTCTGTTGGCCATCTATTTGTCCTCTTTGGAGAAGTTCTGTTCAGGTCCTTTGCCTATTTTTTAATTGGGTTGCTTGTTTTTTGTTTTTTTTTTTTTTGGTTTTGAGTTTCAATATATACCAATATACAGGTTATAATACTAAAAGCATATTAAGTTTAATATATTTCAAATTTTCTCATAAAATGTTTTCTTAATACCTAGTATTTTTGTTACCAACATTAATAATAATAATAATATTCATCCATTTTATTATTTTGTACATAAATTGATACAAACCAACCTTCATTTGGAGATGGAAGATTATTTGCAAAGATCAAATGATTAACTTATTTCTATTCTATAGGTAAATATTATTCATGATTACACCATTGCATAGAACAGTAAAGAATGAATACTGTGCAACTTGAGTATTGACCTATAAAACCTAAATACTGAAAACTTTAGAAAATTGAACTTAACAATTTAAAGTCAATAATTTAAAGCTATGTATATTTTGTACATTTATAATATTTACAATGTAAGTTAAGACTGTTTTGTCAATAATCTTAAATACAGTTTTACTGACTAAATCTTGATGTTCCACACGAAAATCAACCTTTTCATATACATCATAATCTCTATTTGATTAAAGCAAAGCAATGTCACAAAGCAGTGATTTTCAACCATTTTAATCTCATGGCTCCCATAAACTAATTACTAGAATTCTGCTGTACACCAAAAATTATATTTTTTGCCACCCTGACAAAAAAATTGGGTATAATTTTGATTCATTCACACCTGATAGCTATTGTGTTGGTTGTTGTCTCTTTTTTTGTTTGACTATATAAGGGGAAAGAGGTCAGTGCCCCTGACTAAAGAGGCAGGTATTGCATGTTTTAAAATTCTTGTGGCGCATCAGTTGAAAATCGTTGCCATAGAGAAAAAATTTGATACTTACCTGGCAGGGGAGATACCATGGTCACAAAGGTGGCTTTCCCAGGGCAAGGTTTATCCATTGCACTAGGCTGTGCTGACCCCTCTCATTTCCCCAAATGTGGGAAACAACTGCATAATTTGCGGTAGTGGGGGACAGCATTGGCGCTCTCTCCTAAACAAAACAGAAAAGATTTGAGTTATTGCACCTCAACGGTGTCTGTGGTGCTGAGATCAAAGTTTAGCCAACCTCACTTGTTGAAATAAGAGGTCAATAGATCTAGTAAAGATAGTGTACAGTGTAATAGTTAAAACGACAGAGCCAGGTGACATATTGACTAGGTTCAGACCTCAGCTTCACCGCTGATTAGATGTGTATCTTTGGAAATTTCACTTTACTTCCTACCTATAAAATGTACCTGCTTCAGAAAGACCTTTCAAGGTTTAGATGAGTTTTTCAGTCAAGTAGAATGTGCTATGCAAATGTTAACTATTATTAGTATCATTATTTAAGAAACACACCTTTTAGACAAAGAAAATTTTTTTTGTCTTATGTTTTGTTTAATATATAATGTTTTTTTCACATACTTGAAATGTGAGATACTTACCTAGTCCGGCAAACTACCCCTTGGGTCCAATCAGGATCATCATGTATTTGTGAAATAAAGTTTTATTAGAACACATCCTGTGCTCACTCATTATGTATTATTTGTGACTGTTTTTGCACTATAACTGAAGAAATGAGAAGTTGCAAAAAAGACTACATAGCCTGCAAATCCTAAAATAGTTACACTCTGGTTCTTAACAGAAAAAAATTAACTGCTGTATGGGTTACAATACCTGCAATATCAACAATTGGCATTTATCATTTTCTACAAAATTTAAGTTTCTTTTTTCTCTTATTCTTTTAAAAATATATAGTTTATATTACATGTTATATAATACTGGCTTTTTGGATGACACTTGAGGAGGTGATTTAGACTTTAGAATCGGATATGTCCGTTGGTACATGCATGACTTAAAAAATCATTAGTTCCCTAAATTTTACTTTCTAATCTGTAAAAGAATCCAATAATGTGCCTAGAACATAGTAGTCTTTATTGGTAGTCACCCCACATTTATTCTTACAATAAAGTTATTTGTTAGACTAGGCAGAAAATATTATGTATTAGTTGTAGATACGAAGAATTAATGGTTGAATATCATGTCAAATCACTTGTTAGTTTAGGAAGGGAAAAAAGCCAACTAAAATTTACAGTCCAGTGATTAGAACACAAATTTTGAAAACTGATTTATAGGTTCATACCCTATCTCTATCACCCTTTTAACTGTGTAACCTTGGCTTTAATCTATCTATCTGTGCAAATTTCTATTAATTAAAAAGTTCTGAATAAATACTTCTGACTTCATAGGGTACTTTTGGGAGCTAAATAAGCTAATATATAAAAATGTTCATGTTATGAGGCATTAACAAAGTAATATAAAATCATTACTTTAGTACTAACCATCCTCAATGTATCAAAATATCTAGTTTTATGCTAATTAATTACTGTAATAATTATAGACATAATTCTTTCTATTAAAGGTAGGTAGATATGTAAGTAGATAAACAAATGGATAGATTTAGATAGATGGGTAAATAGATTATAGATATAGATAGATGGATGATAGACAATCAGTAGTATAGGTTATTTAATCATTTTGCTCAGGTTCCCACAGTAGAAAGTAATGTCATTAAGAGATGCTTAGCTCAACAGCATCATTAGTTTAAAGTGCATGCCTGGAAATAGTGGGAAATAATTTATGATAAATTTTGTTAGGCTATAGTAGAATAGCAAAAGGAAAGGATAACCTCAAGTATGCATACTGAACTACATATTTTGGATAAAATATGTTTTTTGAAAAATCAATGTCATGTTACTGAGGTAGTACAAACTTTAATCAAAGGTAGACTCATATTTGATTCCTCGAACTAACACATGCTATAAAATTGTTTTCACCTCCTTGTCATTATCCTTACATTACAGGATCATTGTAAGGAAACAAATAATATATGTAAAGCATCTAGAAAATATGATGCCAAATGTATACAAAATAATAATGTTTTCTATACAATTGTATTTAAAATTTACATTTTATTTTAGTCACCATAATACTACAAAGATAGGTCATATGTTTGGATTATTAAGAAATAAAGTTAATTTTAAAAAAAGGAATGAACAGAAATCTCATTTAAAGTGAAATAGGAAGGCTATAAGGGGAGCTCTCACACCAGATCCTGATCTTAAAGCACAACTCACAGAATCTTTGAATGTGGTAGCCCTTCTCAATTTCCTTTTCCCCTCTATAAAATAATTTCTTCTATGTTTTAGCTGACTTGCATATGATTCACCATGGTTACAGGTACTGGATTAAAATTCATGTTGTTCTCCAATAAATTCAGTTTTGCTAGATAACTATCTGGCTGAATTTTGTTTATTATCAAACAATTTCATAGACATATGAAATTACTTCAAAAAAGTGTAAAGTTACTCAGGCATTTGGATAATGTTTACCTTTGACCTACCTACCTACCTTTTTTTCCCGTTTGTCTAATAACCTGTCACTTTTTCTTCTTCCTCTCCCAAGAGAAAATAATCTTCAGTTTGATATTCTAAACAATCCACTTATGTGTACTCTCACTCAGGGACACACTGTGCCGAAGCATACTCCTAATCACAGACACTTTACAGAGATGATCAAAAGCATAAAAGCATGTGTGGAACACAACTTGTGAAAGATCATTTGCAAACTCTATATAGTACAGCAAGTAATATGATACGAGACATTAATTTAGCTAAACCTCAGCAATGACAATATCATTTTTCACTTATAATGCACTAAAATATGCAAACAAATAAGCTAACTTTTCCCAAGTTTTTTTGCAGTGTATCTCCACAACCCAATGAGACGTTTTCCCCGCAGTGGCCCCGTGAGTGACATGCTAGAGAAAACTTTGGCTCCTTGGTGATTGTTATTGATTTTGATCCATGTTGACACCTTTTGTGTGAGAAGTTTGCTTTCTTCTGAAGATAAATCAAATGTGTTGCTGCTCCAACTAGTTCTCTTTACTGTACAAAAACACCAGAGGAAACTGATGTCTTGCAAACTTTACACAGATCTTCAGTTTTATGTAAAAACTGGGAAACCCATCTGTTACTTTTTTCCACATCTCATATATTTATTAGAGAGATGGAAATAAGGTAATTTGTTGGTAACACTTTTTTAATGAAAAGTGCTATAAATAAATGAGAATACATACATTGCTAACATTCCAATCATTTCCTATATTCCTCTGTTAACTATTGAATTCAATAAATATTTGTTAGAGCTTATTGAACACAAGGCAGAATATTGAGTATGCCAGAGAAGAAATGAATGATTAAGACATAGAAAGCTTTGAAAATATTACCCAAATAATACAAAAAATATATATAATACCTTTTTTATTGTGCAGTATGCCTTTATTGTCTCCTTTCACTGCATAATTGGAAAAGGCATAGGTGTAGGTAAAGTATTAATATAATCCACTGTAGGTCATGGAAACTACATGCAACAATGGCCTCTGAATTATATGATATGTGTTGACAACAGGACAAAACATTGATAGCTGACAATTATGTGGCTATTGATTAAAGAGATATTTTAACATTGTCATATTAACACCTCTTTATTTGTTTAAAGAAGAGGATCTTTAACATTTTCTTAGAGTTCTTAAAAAATTTATGTTTGTAAGATATCAACTAGATATGTAAAAACATACCTTTGCATTGTTAAAAAAACACACATGAGGATTCTACTTGGCCCAGAAATCAGTATCTTCTGGGAGGCTCAAACTGACAGGCCATGTTGAAAAATGTTTAGCAAGCTGTGGCTACTCTCTACTTTTGAGACCTGATAATCCAAATGACACTTTTGACCTACAAGTTCCATTAACTGACTTTTGCCAAGTCAAGTGTCTGGCAAAAGGAGGAACCTTCTACTCGGAATCACCTATTAAAGTTTTTAGCCTGTTGCTTTCCTGATACTGTTATTAGATACACCCCCTTGGACACAGGTGTTTCCCATCACATGGAAGACCAGTGCTGACTGGAGGTGGGTATTTCCTCTCGCGGGGGTCAGTTGGAATCTGGTAAGGGCCAGGCACATTAGGCTCTGGGCAACTAGTTTCTGCTGAGAGCAGGCCCCCCATCAGAGTGCTCTGGTATATTTAAAAATGCTTTCTTTTCCCCTTCCCCTGCTGGGAGCAAGAAGGGATTTTTCTCCAGTATTTACTATGAGAACTGGGTTGAGCTCCTAGAAGTAAATTTCACAGTATTGTCAGAACTTCCCTCCCAGGGCTTTTTAATTCTCAGATTTGTCCACACTGAGTCTTGAGCAATTCACTAGTTACAGTTCAGATAGTCCTACTTGGCACTGGGTCCCTCGGTAGCTTTCACCTGTCTGAATCCTTGCTCAGAACAACTTATTCCCCATCTTAGCTTGTCTGTGTCTCCAACTTTGGGGGTAGCTGTTTGCCCTATATCTTCTCATGTCATGATTTTAAGAAAAGTTTTGGATATTTCAGTCTGGTTAGCTTTTCACTTGCTATGATAGAGTGGCAATTTCCAAGCTCCTTACATGCAGATTTGAACAGTGGAAATTTTGGTATATGCCTTTGAAAAAGAAGTGATGACCTACTTGGTTTGTATCTAAATGAATAGATGTCACATAGTCACCAGTCTGAGACATTCACGTTGGGGTGGAGCTAAAACTAGTTCAAAAATGGTGATAAAGGTCCAGTAGGCTTCACCAGTTGAATGTAAATGTCAAGTGGAGAAACAGACAACCTGGTCTCAGTGGTGTCTTGGCTTTAGGTGAAAAAGTGGCAACTGTTCTTTGAAGTGTGACCCTCTTTTCCAGTCCAAATATCTAAGCAAATACATTGGCTCAATGAAGGCTTGGATTCACAGAGGTTTCTCTAAATTTCTTGGCTTTGTTATCAGTGGATGGTTCACCTGAGCTGAAATACAATAGTGGGAAGTGGGACCCTGCCTATTTTTGATTTCAGTGGTAGCTACATAGAAATGAAAGCAGAGGTGATTGCTCCATTGAGTGGGCAAATATCAAGGTCATTCTCTTAGTTTTCTTTAAAACTTT